ATATATATATACACACATATATATATATACACATATATATATACATATACACACACATATATATATACACACATATATATATATACATATAGACACATATACATATATACACACATACATATATACATACACACATATATACATATATACATACACACACATATATATATACATATACACACACACATATATACACACATACAAACATATACACACACATACATACACACACACACACATATATATATATATATATATATATATACCATTTAAGATATTTTATGTTTAGACATTCTTTTTAAAGATACAAATATTTAAGTAAATGCTCTGTTTTATAATAAAGAGTATTTATAACATTTACCGGCCTGGATCTCCGAGAAATTTTCATAGAAAATATTCGTCCTCCGACAGGAATTGAACCTGTATCCTATAGGGAACCGTCATTTAGCCTGACGTGTTCTTAACTGATCGAGCCACAGAGGATCGTTAGCAATGTCGAATTTACTGCCTTTAAATTTCATGGAAGATTGAAGTTTAAAGGCAGTAAATTCGACCTTGTTAATCGAAAATAATAAAATAAATAATCATTATTTATTTTAGTGGATACTCATATTTGAGTAGATGCTCTGTTTGTTTCATTAAATGGTATACTTATTTTGGTCTAGTAGTGTGAATATTCCAGAAATCTTATTAAGGAAACCTATACTCCCTCCAGCAGAATTTGAACCTGCAGTCACCTTGGTAGGAAGAACTGTTGTTTGATCCAATGTGCTACAATCAAGTGAGCTAAAAAAAACTTTTGCTGATCAAGCTAGTCTGAATAGTGACGTAAAGCGAAATCATTCTCGTACTGTTTAATAGAACAAATGGAGCACTTCCTGAAATATGAGTGTCCACTAAAATAACGTTTAAAGTGAAAAAAATATACCGGATTTATGAATTAAAAAAATCCATTACTTCTTTAGAAATTGCTTTGTTTACGTTTGGAAAAAATTCAAGGAATTTAATAAGAGAAGGATTTCGCTTGAAGGCACATTTTGGACTTTGCTTGATCAGTAAGGCTGCTTTATGGCCGAGTCGGCTAAGGCACGTCGGATCTAAAGACGGTTTCCCTCTGCCCAATATGCCCTGTGAGTATCAAATTTTGCAAGCCTTCTTTCCTCATTTATGTGCTCTAGAAAATCCACTTGTATCTTTCTGATTCTAAGTATAGTTATTTTCATTTTTTTCAAAAATATTGGTCGTTACTCACATGTTTAGTCCATTCTCAGCATCCTCCTGTAGAAGGACATTTCCGTTGCCTCAAGTCTTCTCTATCTATGATGACATTGTCCAGCAATATTACTGTACAGAAGAAAACGGTGACATACCGCGAAATCTAAAACGCTTTCGTGTCGCATTCTACTTTTACAGATGAAAAAAGAGAAGAAAGAAAGAAAGAAAGGAAGAAGAAAGAAGGAAAGAAAAAAGAAAGAAAGAAAGGAAGAAGAAAGAAAGAAAAAAGAAAGAAAGAAGAAAGAAAAAAAGAAAGAAAGAAAGAAGAAAGAAAGAAGAAAGAAAGAAGAAAGAAAGAAAGAAGAAAAAGAAAGAAGAAAGAAAGAAAGAAGAAAGAAAGAAAGAAAGGAAGAACGAAAGAAAGAAGAAAGAAAAAAGAAAGAAGAAAGAAAAAGAAAGAAGAAAAAAGAAAGAAGAAAGAAAGAAGAAAGAAAGAAGAAAGAAAGAAAGAAAGAAGAAAGAAAAAAGAAAGAAGAAAGAAAAAAGAAAGAAAGAAGAAAGAAAGAAAGAAAGAAAGAAAGAAAGAAAGAAAGAAAAATGTTTCACCACTGAATGAGGTCAGTGAGTTCATGTAAATTAACTTCTGCTGACCAATCGTGGTTCAAGTGTTACTGAGTGGAATAGATTACATAGAAATATATGCTAGTCCAGGGGTGGGCCAACCTTTTGATTCTATGCGCCAATATTTTGTACGATTAATTTAAATGCGCCACCCAAACATTCACTTCCTTTCAGTACCCGTTGTCATATGGACATATTTTAAAGTTATAATAAAATCTATTTATTTGAAAAATATATGCTTATGACCAGGAGGCGTATCCAGGAGTTTTGAAAGGTGGGGGCATCAATCAATGCTTTGAAATGAATGAGCAGAAGAGCTTAGTTTCTTTTCATCAAAAAGGATGCAATGCGCTACTTGTAAGCATCCAATGCGCCACTTATGGCGCATGCGCCACAGGTTGGCCATCCTTTTGCTAGTCCATTTCTATACTCCACAAATGTAAAAACTGATAAGGGTCCACCAAACGATTATAAAAGCAACTGAATTTTCCTACAAGTGGGGATTTTTTGCGAGGTGGCTGCGTGTGTGTTAGATGGAGATTTGGATTTTGTGAACTTTTACTATTACAATGGTATAACAGTTCAATACTGAACTACTACGTGATATCTGTCCTGCTTTATGGCAGCGAATATTGGACGGTCTCCTCAACGATGAAGAAGAGACTCGAGGCAACGGTTCTACAGAAGGATGCTGAGGATATCGTGGACCGAGCGTGTGGGCAACGATGAGGTTTTGGAGAGGATGCAAATAAGGAGGAAGCTTATACTTAACATCACGAAAAGGCAGCTGAAATTCCTGGGACGTGTAATGAGAAAGGGGGGCTTGGAGAATCTGATAATCACAAGGCGGATAGAGGGAAAGCAATACGTGACATACCTAGCGGGTTTAAGCAAGTGGAGGACAGATCAGGGTTGGGGAGAATAGCAAAAAGGACAAAACAATGAGAACTACAAGGTAAGAAAATATAAGAGAGAAAGGAGATACAGACAAGCCTTAACATTGAGAGAGAGAGAGAGAGAGAGAGAGAGAGAGAGAGAGAGAGAAGGAAACACAAACAAACCTCAAAATTCAGAGAGAGAAAGAGAGAGAGCGAGGTTGAGAGAGAGAGAAATAAGGAGACACAGAGAGACAATAAATTCAGAAAGAGGGAAAAAGAGAGTGTAAGAGAGAAAGAAGACGCAGACAAATCAAGATTCAGAGAGAGAGAGAGAGAGAGAGAGAGAGAGAGAGAGAGAGAGAGAGAAATGAGATACAGACAAACCTTAAGATTCAGAGAGAGAGAGAAAGAAATAGAGAGGGATAAACACACTTTAAAATTCAGAGAGAGAGAGAGACAGAGAGACAGAGAGAGAGGGGATGGGGAGAGAGAAGACAAACACACTTTAAAATTCAGGGAGAGGGGGAAAGAGTCACACACACAAACCTTAAGATTCAGAGAGAGAGAGAGAGAGAGAGAGAGAGAAAAGGCGACACACACAGACTTTAAGATTCACATAGAGAGCGAAAGAGAGAATAAGCAACACATACAAATTTTAAGATATTTAGAGAGAGAGAGAGAGAGAAGGCGGGACACACAAACCTTAACATTCAGAGAGAGAGAGAGAGAGACAGAGACAGAGAGAGACAGAGAGACAGAGAGAGAGGGGATAGAGGAGAGAGAAGACAAACACACTTTAAAATTAAGGGAGAGGGGGAAAGAGTCACACACACAAACCTTAAGATTCAGAGAGAGAGAGAGAGAGAGAGAAAAAGGCGACACACACAGACTTTAAGATTCACATAGAGAGCGAAAGAGAGAATAAGCAACACATACAAATTTTAAGATATTGAGAGAGAGAGAGAGAGAAAAGGCGACACACACAGACTTTAAGATTCACATAGAGAGCGAAAGAGAGAATAAGCAACACATACAAATTTTAAGATATTGAGAGAGAGAGAGAGAGAGAGAGAGAGAGAGAGAGAGAGAGTGAGAAGGCGAGACACACAAACCTTAACATTCAGAGAGAGAGAGAGAGAGAGAGAAATGAGATACAGACAAACCTTAATATTAAGAGAGAACGAGAGAGATCGATTATGAGAGAGATAAGGCGACAGACAAACATTAAGATTCAGAGAGAGAGAGAGAGAGAGAGAGAGAGAGAGAGAGAGAGAGACAGAGACAGAGGGGATGGGGGAGAGAGAAGACAAACACACTTTAAAATTCTGGGAGAGGGAGAAAGAGTCACACACACAAACCTTAAGATTCAGAGAGAGAGAGAGAAGAGAGAGAGAGAAGGCGACACACACAGACCTTAAGATTCACATAGAGAGCGAAAGAGAGAATAAGCAACACATACAAATTTTAAGATATTGAGAGAGAGAGAATTATGAATCACCCAAATGCGAGAGCCCCATTGACTAACAGATCTATGTGAAGATTATACTAGGTCTGACCGGAAAATATTTGATATTAACAAAAAAATATCCTACTAAGATCAATGGCGCCTTCCTCCTCTTCAAAACCTCACATACTTATTTCAGTGTCCCTTTCAAAATTTCTCTTGCAGAATAGTCATCAAGTGACTCATTATATTCTCTCCTTTATCTCATCTATAACTTTTTCAGATTTGGAAAAGGTCGGAAGTTGCAGGGAATCGAATGTAGATTGTAGGGTCGGGGTTGGCACACCCAGGGTAATAAGAAACGCACCAGGGTAATAAGAAATTTGAAAAAAAAAATAGAGAAATAAAAATTCACACAAGATCTGAGTAATCTACTCGCTCGTGAAATACGACAGTCACACATATTACGCCTCACTCTCGATTGAGAAAACCCACAGAATAATGCCATGCGTGAAGAATAAGGTCGCCTCTGATTGGCTGCAAACTTACATCAAGGCCGCGCAGTTTTGGAGATATTCAAAATACCTGGATAATTATCTGGATAGATCTTGTACAAAATGTCCTCTCATGAATTCGAATTTGCTTCTGACACATACAATTATCTCATGGTGGATTTGTTATATAGATTAGCTTTTTTCTTCATTATGAGAACAGGATCTTGTTATCCACGGATGATAGGATCCTGGCGGAAAATCATAAATCATATATATTCGAGATCAGATCAAAACCTTGCAGATGACACTATTTTATTTTTATCGTTCTTTTCCCTTAAACAAAACTAAAAAAAAACACACAAAACAAAAAACAATACCAAAACCAGCCAAACCAAATTAAAAAACATTTTTCCCCAAAACAATATAAAAAACATTACCAAAAAGCCACCAAAAAACAAACCCAAAAACAATAGAAATAAAAACAATTAAAATCAATACAAAAATAACTACTAAAAAAAATACCCCAAAACAAACAAACTAAAAAACAACACCAAATCCAGCAACTAAAAACAATGTAAAAAATAAAAACAATGCAAGCAATAAACCAAAGATAATCCCTAAATCAACAGATTAAGAATAATCCAAAAACAGCTAAAAACTAAAATAATCACCCCCACTTACACCAAAAAGCAACAAACTAAAGGTAATACGGAAAATGTAACAAATTTAAAAAAAAAAACAAAACAAAACGTTTACTGTTGAAATAGTTAAATATAACCACCACTTCTACTCCAACAGTTTCTTTTCTCGTACTTCCCACCTGTGAAACACACTTCAGTTTACTTGCTTCCCTGATAACTACAATATTCAAAAATTTAAATGCAACGTCATTTGCCATCTTCTGCCTTCTTGAAACCCGTTCATCTTTTATTCTTTCCTCAATCCTCCCTAAACTGAATCTTTTCTTTCGCTTTCGTTGCTGTAACCCCCTGTGTACTAGTGGCATAACCCCTTGTGTACTAGTGGCATAAACCCCCTGTGTACTAATGGAATAACCCCCTGTATACTTGTGGCATAAACCCCTGTGTACTAGTGGCATAACCCTCTGTGTGCTTGTGGCATAAACCTCTGTGTACTAGTGGCATAACCCCCTGTGTACTAGTGGCATAACCACTTGTGTACTAGTGGCATTTCCGCCTTGCTTTTTTGAAATGCTAAAAAAAATTAAACATAATACCAAAAAAAAAAAAAAAATCATTAATCATAACATCAAACTGGACGTTTATAAATTCACTATTCCTTTCATTCGTGTAGCGAAATTATGTATGTTAAGGTTTTATTTTCTAAAACAAGAGGGGCGTTGTTTTGCGAGGATTACCCCACCTTGTCTACCAGCATGCCCATGATGATGTCTTTCTATTCAGAACTATAAAAAGAAGAGACATAAGCACGTTCGCTCGTTCTCTCTTTTTCTCTTTCTCTCGTTTCAGGATGTGGTGGTAACAGCACGACACTCTTCTCCTCTGGAGAGACGCTCCTCGGGCAGGGCAGCCGACTAATTAATTTCAACCTAACCACGTTGCGCGTACGCGCGCTCACACACACACACACTCAAACATCTCTCATCTCATATTTTTTCTCTTTCTGTTTGAGTTATATAATTCTATTCTCCTTACTTTTGGGTAGGTCTGTATCATAGATTCGGACGGACATGGGACCCTTGTACCAGCCAAAAATAAGATTTTGAAAACTCAAGGAATTTTATGTTTATCTTGCTAATGTTAGCCGAGTAGCAAAATATAATACAAAGTTCAGATTTTTACAGTATAGTAAGGTCAGTTGGGCACCGTCTATGAGTAAAAGAGCACCATGAAGCAATTTGGAAACGCCATACTGTACTGCTTGGCATTCGCACCGGAAGCTCCAATACAAACGTGTCAGATTGTTTAAATGCCAATCTGAGGACAGTGTAGAGCATACGGAAAAAGTTGGATGAGTCTAATGGTGATTACGAAGGTGTCTGAAGTCAGCACTAGTGATGGCGATGTTATATCTCTCTCCATTCATCTTCCAACAGGGCCTCAAAATCAACACGGAGGCCTACATCACGTGCCTTGAGGTAGTGCTGCCCTAGGTCAAGAGGATGGCTTTTGGAAGACCCTATGCCTGGCAACAGGACTCTGCACCATGCCACACAAGCAGGAGATACGCAGTCATGGATGTCAGACAATTTCTACGGCCTTATCACCATCTACATCTGACTACCTAACCCTCTAAACTGTAACCACCTTGTGTGGGACGCAGTTGAGCGAAAGACCAACAAAACTCCTTGTAACACTAAAGATGAACTGAAGGCAAGGATTATGGCAGCATTCACCAACTTAAACAAGGAGACCGTCCAGAAGAGATGCAGGAGATTCCAAAGTTGCCTGGATGCCATGGTTGAAGACAATGGCGATTTTACTCTTTAGTACAGTGGTTTTCAACATTTTTGCTGGAGCGGAACCACAAGGAAACATACCAGTGGCTCGAGGAACCCCTGCAATAAATTAATTGTCTTATGCAAAAAAAAAAAAAAAGGCTTTCAATTTTTAAAATAAAATAAAAATACTCATCTTCAGATTTATTTACAAAAAAATACATAGACAAACTAAAAATATTGTATACGTCCATATGCAATTTTAATCTTACCTTCTGCAGTTTACCACATTAAAAACTTCAGTTTAAATGGATTACATTTATTTTCATTAAAAATTCAATGAGAACCTTGAGCCTGATGTTTCTTGTACAAATCTTTAATATTGGGTCATGTTTTTGACAGACAGACACAAAGTTCATCTTCCACAGACAGCAATTGTGCTCGCTTCTTACGCTTGATAGTTGTCAGAACTGAAAATCCAAATTCACACAAGTAGGATGTTGAAAACTGCTTAAGAAGGCGCAGTGCTTTCTGGGTAATATTCTGACAAAATTTAAAAAATGTTTGAAGGGATTGAAAATTTTTTAAAAATAATTAAAAATTACTTTGATCTTTCCTCTTAATAAAAATATAAACATTTTGATGGAAAAAGTTTGTTTTATTAAGTTTGGGACCTTTTTTTTATTCATATATATGTATATTTTTTATTCATACTATGCTGTTTTGTTATTGATTTAGTAGAGGTACCTAAACACACATATCTGTACAGGAGAATTAAAAATTACTGTCAATCATAGTACTTGAGTAACTTCTTTCGAAACCCCTGGGCTTTACTGGCGGAACGCTAGTGTCCCGCGGAATCCTGGCTGAAAACCACTGCTTTAGTATTTCAAGATATTTTTGTGTAATTTTGGTAAATATATTTGTTAAATAATTCGTTTTTGTATAATTTAGATGACAATTTTTTCATCGCACCCTGTACATATCTATATATCTATCTACGTATCTATCTCTGCATATGTATATAACTAATTGCGTCTTATATGACAGGATGTACAGTAATTAGGCTCTTAGAAGCAAACAAAAGAATGGCAGACTGCTATGTTAAGACTAACTTTCAATATGTCAGTGCATACTGAACAATTTCGTCACAAATAAAAAAAAAGGCACGAAGCGAAAGAAAGGAAGATGCATTTCTACGGACGAATACGTGACTTATGAGATAATTTTAAGATTTTCTCGCTCACTCAAGCCCCAGTGACTCCTTGCTGAGTATGGAACCAACAGCTCTCGGCTTTCAAGACATTTCTTCCGTGGTTTCCATAGCAAGTAGCAGGATAGAGCTGCGAGCCTCATTTTCAACTGGTTTTGAATTGTCCTTTTCTTACTGGTTACCAATCACCGCCAAAGAGCCCAGTCTGCCCTACTATTAAACTCATAGCTGATAGAAAAGATATATCCATACCTTTCACAAGGATATTTGTGCATAAGTGAATGTAATGAACTCGACTTAAATTCGAACTCGGCTCTCCGATTTTTCATTCTATCCATTACACCACCCGTACATTAAAAAGATTAGGAACTGAAAATGGTAGTTGTTATGATAATTTACTCACGCACGCATGGATTCTCCTAGCTATAAATAGGAGCAGGTACTGCCTTTTAGAGAGGAAAGTTTCCAGCAGTCAGCTCTGACAGACGAACCGAACATTCTTGCTGTAACACTTTCGTTTGTATTACTGTTTCTGTTAATATATTTGTTGAACTCAATTCCTCTCTTGTGTCTTTATTTCTGGCCCCTACAAGGCCACAAAAATTATCTATATTTATCTAACACAGTGTATTGGTATCTATCCATCTATCTATCTGTTATGGTAATTTAACCACGCACGCATGGAATCTCCGAGCTATAAATAGGAGCAGGTACTGCCTTTTTGAGAGGAAAATTTCCAGCAGTCAGCTGACAGTCGGACCGAACATTCCTGCTGTAACACTCTCGTTTGTATATGTTTCTGTTACTGTTTTTGTTAATATATTTAACACACTTCTTCTCCTGTGTCTTTATTTCTGGACCCTACAAGGCCACAACAGTAATAAACATTTTGGAAAACATAATATGAAAAAAAGGCTTGGAGAATTTCTTACTCGCAAGTGTACGTCGAATGCAAGGGAATCAAAAAAAAAAAATATCAGCGACAAACATATTTGAGAAGATTGAGCAAATGGACGGCGGAACAAGTTCCACGAAGAAAAAGAGGGTTCATAAAGGAACAAGTTTTGCTGACAGCAGTAAATAGCAGGAAGCTGTGGAGAGCCATAATCGTCTAGGCGTCCCAGAGTAGTGGAATAAGCGAACCTAGTTCAAATCCGGGCTGAGTCTATTGTGAACATTCTTGCAATAAAACCGTTGGCAATGAAATGAATCCATCTCTTTTCCCTAGAGTTCAAACGTTCGTTTTACAACCACGAGGTTCAGGTTCGAATCTCACCGTAGTCGATTTAGCAGTAAGGTGACTTTCTGATGTTATCAGCCTGGGGAGTCGATCCTAGCATGCGGCACCTTTGGAAAGTGTCTGAAAACCATACCATGGGTTAAGCCAAGCCTTGCAGGTGAAATTGCATAAACAGAACTCTACGGGAGTCGTCGATGGTTGTACTAGCTGAAGTATCAGGTCATCATGTCCGAGGGTTTGAGCATGCTGGCCTTGGTTCAGATTATTGGTCATGCTAGATAACGCACTCTCTCCTAGAAAATGTAATAGTTGCAGTATAAAGCACAGGTGGGCTCTGTGGGTGTTGAGCAAACACAGGCGTCTGCAACAGGGATTGGCTAGCCGCCCTAGTAGATGGGCATACTTAGAAATGAGTGGCCAGCCATTATGGATCTAGACAAAGAGAATGCTGTGTGGCAATGGTTTAAGAACGGGTCAACAAGTTCATACTACTGTATAGTGACGATTTCATTGTGGCCTTGTGCTAAGCTGAGATATATATATATATATATATATATATATATATATATATATATATATATATATACATTACATTGATATGAGTTAAATATGTCTATCTCAATTTATTCTCATCTATCTTAGTCTATTCCTCTCTATATCAATCTATTCACTATCTATCCATGTCTATTTCAGTCTACGCATTATCTATCTTAGTCAATTCCTATCTATCTGTCTATCTATTTCAGTCTATTCATCTATCTATTTATCTATCTTAGTCAATTCCTATCTATCTATTTATCTATCTTAGTCAATTCCTATCTATCTATTTATCTATCTATCTATCTATCTATTTCAGTCTACTCATTATCTATCTATCTTAGTCAATTCCTATCTATCTATTTCAGTCTACTCATTATCTATCTATCTATCTATCTATCTATCTCAGTCTACTCATTATCTATCTATCTATCTATCTATCTATCTAAGTCTACTCATTATCTATCTTAGACAATTCCTATCTATCTATCTATCTATCTATCTCAGTCTACTCATTATCTATCTTAGTCAATTCCTATCTATCTTAGTCAATTCCTATCTATCTATTTATCTATCTTAGTCAATTCCTATCTATCTATCTATCTATCTTAGTCAATTCCTATCTATCTATCTATCTATCTTAGTCAATTCCTATCTATCTATCTATCTATCTATCTCAGTCTACTCATTATCTATCTTAGTCAATTCCTATCTATCTATCTCAGTCTACTCATTATCTATCTATCTATCTATCTCAGTCTACTCATTATCTATCTATCTATCTATCTCAGTCTACTCATTATCTATCTATCTATCTATCTATCTATCTAAGTCTACTCATTATCTATCTTAGTCAATTCCTATCTATCTATCCCAGTCTACTCATTATCTATCTATCTCAGTCTACTCATTATCTATCTATCTATCTATCTCAGTCTACTCATTATCTATCTATCTATCTATCTAAGTCTACTCATTATCTATCTATCTCAGTCTACTCATTATCTATCTATCTATCTATCTAAGTCTACTCATTATCTATCTATCTCAGTCTACACATTATCTATCTATCTATCTATCTATCTAAGTCTACTCATTATCTATCTATCTCAGTCTACTCATTATCTATCTATCTCAGTCTACTCATTATCTATCTATCTATCTATCTATCTATCTATCTATCTAAGTCTACTCATTATCTATCTTAGACAATTCCTATCTATCTATCTATCTATCTATCTATCTCAGTCTACTCATTATCTATCTTAGTCAATTCCTATCTATCTTAGTCAATTCCTATCTATCTATTTATCTATCTTAGTCAATTCCTATCTATCTATCTATCTATCTTAGTCAATTCCTATCTATCTATCTATCTATCTATCTATCTATCTCAGTCTACTCATTATCTATCTTAGTCAATTCCTATCTATCTATCTCAGTCTACTCATTATCTATCTTAGTCAATTCCTATCTATCTATCTCAGTCTACTCATTATCTATCTATCTATCTATCTATCTATCTATCTATCTCAGTCTACTCATTATCTATCTATCTATCTATCTCAGTCTACTCATTATCTATCTATCTATCTATCTATCTATCTATCTAAGTCTACTCATTATCTATCTTAGTCAATTCCTATCTATCTATCCCAGTCTACTCATTATCTATCTATCTCAGTCTACTCATTATCTATCTATCTATCTATCTTAGTCTACTCATTATCTATCTATCTATCTATCTAAGTCTACTCATTATCTATCTATCTCAGTCTACTCATTATCTATCTATCTATCTATCTATCTAAGTCTACTCATTATCTATCTATCTATCTATCTATCTCAGTCTACACATTATCTATCTATCTATCTATCTAAGTCTACTCATTATCTATCTATCTCAGTCTACTCATTATCTATCTATCTATCTATCTATCTATCTATCTAAGTCTACTCATTATCTATCTATCTATCTATCTATCTCAGTCTACACATTATCTATCTATCTATCTATCTAAGTCTACTCATTATCTATCTATCTCAGTCTACTCATTATCTATCTATCTATCTATCTATCTAAGTCTACTCATTATCTATCTATCTATCTATCTATCTCAGTCTACACATTATCTATCTATCTATCTATCTAAGTCTACTCATTATCTATCTATCTCAGTCTACTCATTATCTATCTATCTATCTATCTATCTAAAGTCTACTCATTATCTATCTATCTATCTATCTATCTCAGTCTACATTATCTATCCTATCTATCTATCTAAGTCTACTCATTATCTATCTATCTATCTATCTAAGTCTACTCATTATCTATCTATCTATCTGACTATCTATCTATCTATCTATCTATCTATCTATCTATCTCAGTCTACCCATATCTATCTATCTATCTATCTATCTATCTATCTATCTATCTAACCGTTGGGAATGACATGAATCCGTCTTTTTTTCCCTACAGTTCGATCGTTCGCTTTCTGACCATGAGACCCGGGTTCGAATCTCATCGTAGTCGATTTATCAGGAAGGTAACTTTCTGATGTTGTCGGTCTGGGGAGTTGATCCCAGCATGCCAAATGTCTGAAAATCATACCACGGTAAAAGTGAGTGAAATTGGATAGACGGAACTATTTAGTTGTGGGACAGATTCGCAAGTCATCGTGACAGAGTGTTTGAGCGTACTTGGCTGCTGATCATGCCAGAGAACCCTCAAAAACCAACTAAGGTATGCTCATCACAGTTGCAGTACCAACTACAGGTGTTGAACAAACACAACTGTATCTGAGCAGGCGTCTGCAACAGGGATTTACTAGCCGCCCTAATAGAGAGGTATATTCGGATACGAGATGGCACAGATTGGTCTGTCTAGCCTTGGGTGCTAACCAATCTAAGAAGAAAGACAGTTCTGAATTCCAAACCGCGAGGAAGGCTATGGGAAGCTACTCCACTATCCTTCCTAAAAATGGGAGGCAATTCACTTGTAATGATTGATTGGTTTGTTTCTTTTTAAACGAATTGAAGTTCTCGTGAAAATAATTTTGTTGGGACCGAGATAGGTGTTACCGATAATCCAAAGATGACTAGAGCGGGTGGAGTGAGACATCCCAGCTAAGCTGTAACAATTTGATTATTTGACTGATTTATTTTTTTTTACGGCTTATCAGCACTTTGTTGGTTATTTAAAGTCGAAACTTATTCCGTGATTGTAGGAGGTTGCTTACAGTACCCGATATTCTCAAAAGATCCCCCATCTAATGATGACTAACAACTGGTGTCGCAGATAAAGGAAAAGAAGTATGTAGCAGACATGATCACATGATGGAATGTTACATAACAAATATATATATATATATATATATATATATATATATTTTGAATAAAAAACAGACCACTTTAAGGTTCCATGTAATAAATTATTTCACCACAGCCCTTTTAAAACCTCTGGATCATCGAACTTTACTTCCAAAGGTTGAAATGAAAATGAAAAAAAATTTACACATTTTTGACGAACCGTATAAAGCATATTTAAATTAACTAAGTGAGGAAGTGAAGTCTTCTCCCCCCTTACTTCCTTTTGTTAAAGGGGTTATGGTGAAATAACTTATTACATGGAACACTAAAAATGTCTGTTATATTGCTCTAATTTACATTGAGCTCTCGGATATCATCCTCCTTGGGTCTACAGACGGATTACCTAGTTTTGCATAAACTATATATATATATATATATATATATATATATATATATATATTTTTTGAACAATAAGAAAATTAAAAATTAAAAATTAAAAAATTAAAATCATTAGACACACTGGGTTGTAGATTAATATTCTTTCGTTTTTTATTATTATTATTATTCCATTTAAATTCCTCGACTAGTTTCGACCGAAATGGCCATCATCGGGAGGCAGAAATATTTCTGCTTGCTGTTAGCAGGAACTACAGAAATATATATATATATATATATATATTATTTTTATATATTATATATGCGGGGTACTTATTGGAAATCAGAGACAGACCTAACATATTTAGTTGGATTGATGTGAGTTTGTGATCCTGGGTTTCACGCTTTTGCGATCATCAGACCGCAAAAGCATGAAACCCAGATGAAAACTCAGGCCTGACGATTGCATCTAGCATGAAACAGACTGTCGCCTCTACTTGTTGACTTCTATATTTACTTTTATATTTACACATGCTCTATCTATGATATCGAGCACTTTATCCCATAAATATAGCACATCTTAAGACTATATTTCTTCATATATATATAATTAAATAAAAAGGAACAATTTGAGTCTAATTATCTTTTGCTACATTTATCTGCCTCTGTTTAAAGCAAATTAAAAAAAAAACGTTATTATTTAAATAAAATAAATAATTACTATCAAATCTATAAAAAAATAATTGAATTCTTATGGCAGACATCAGTCTCATGCCTGTGTGTTTTGCGAGGGAAAAAATGCGAGATCTTATTTTGAATTGTAATTATTATATTTAGATAAAAGGTTTTTGAAGAAATCAACTATCCACAGATGCACACACACGACATATGTGCGATAGCTTGAGTTTAAATGCAGAGAGAGAGAGAGAGAGAGAGACAGCTTACCTCAAGAAATTCTCGGTCAACTTCGAATAACTTCTCGCGTGATGTCCTGTTTTTGAACGTTATCTTTTCTTTATTTTTTTTTATTTTTATTTTTTAAAGAAATCCTTCGAAGTGTTCGTAACGTTATCTCTCCAAAATAAAGATGGCAGTATAATGACAACAAGTGGTCATTTTTCTTGTTGATTTTTTTTTTTTACGACTAAAATATTCCTTCCCTTAATAATAAAACATAAAGGAAGAAACTGCGGGACATTGTAAGAAAAAAAGGTGGGAGGAAAACAAAAAAGAGGAGGACGAATTTTGAGACGGCAAATGTGGAGATTAAAACTGCAGCAGTTCAAATGCCTGTCGTTGACTGGTAAGAACCCCCCTGGGAATAAAAATAGGAGACACGAACTATGCTTAGTTGACTGAGGACTACATTGACACTATTAAAGTAGTTTGGATAAATTGTCACTTACTCATATTGTGGGTGTGTATACTTGAAGAGTATTGAGAGAGAGAAAGAGAGAGAGGACAGAACTGAGTGAATGAAAGGGAAAAGAAAGGCCGAGTATTAATGCCTCAGATTATGAAAACATGTTTATGTAAAAAACACACGAATGTCAACTGATGCGAGTTACAGAGAGAGACTGGCGAAAGTGATAGAGGTAGGGAAGACAAGATTGAGGGCGGAAAAAGCAATTAGAAGAGTATATATATATATATATATATATATATATATATATATATATATATATATACACACACACATATATATATAGAGAGAGAAAGAGAGTGACGGGAGTATACTGTTGAGACGGGTGCGGGGGAGCTCAACGTTATTCGACAATTTTGATGGGGGCGGCGAGAAAGTTATTCGACGAGACAGATGAGGGTCGATCAACGTTATTCGACGAAACGAGTGCGGGTAGGGGCGCAATGTTATTCGACGAGACGGATGCGGGGGAGGGCGCAACGTTATTCGACGAGACGGATGGGGGAGCGCAACGTTATTCGACGTGACGGATGGGGGGGGCGCAACGTTATCCGACGTGACGGATGCGGGGGGCAACGTTATTCGACGTGATTTCAACGTTATTCTACGAGACGAATGGGGGGAAGTTCAACGTTATTCGACGAGACGAATGAGGGGAGCTCAAGGTTATTCGACGAGACGGATGGGGGGAAGTTCAACGTTATTCGACGAGACGGATGGGTGGGGGGGCAACCAACATCATTTGACGAGTCGAATTGGTGGACCGAACGTTATTCAACAAGACGGGTGGGGGTTTAAGCAACGACGAGACGGTTAGTGGGAACCATCGTTACTCGACGAGACAGCTGGGGAGTGCAATGTTATTAGACAAGACGGATGGGAAGGAAGACAGATGTGGGAATGTACCATTATTCAACAAGACGGTTGTGGGGTGCCAACGTTATTCGACGAGACAGATGCAGAGAAACATATTTATTCGACGAGATGGGTCATTTTACTATAAAAACGTATTGTTGGTCATTTTGCTTAAAAATGTATTGTTGGTCATTTTGCTTAAAAATGTGTTGTTGGTCATTTTACTATAAAATGTATTGTTGGTCATTTTGCTTTAAAAATGTATTGTTGGTCATTTTTTTATAAAAACAATATTATTGGTCATTTGCCTAAAAATGTATTGTTGGTCATTTGCTTAAAATGTATTTGTTAGTCATTTGCTATAAAATGTATTGTTGGTCATTTTTGTTTTAAAATGTATTGTTGGTCATTTTGCTTAAAATGTATTGTTGGTCATTTTACTATAAAAATGTATTGTTGGTCATTTTGCTTAAAAATGTATTGTTGGTCATTTTGCTATAAAATGTATTGTTGGTCATTTTGCTAAAAATGTTTTTTTAGTCATTTTATTAAAAATGTATTGCTGGTCATTTTGCTATAAAAAAGGTATTGTTGGTCATTTTGCTTAAAATGTATTGTTGTCATTTGCTTAAAATGTATTATTGGTCATTTTTCTAATTTGTAAAAATGTATTGTTGGTCATTTTTCTATAAAATGTATTGTTGGTCATTTTGCTATAAAATGTATTGTTGGTCATTTTGCTTAAAAATGTATTGTTGGTCATTTTGCTATAAAATGTATTGTTGGTCATTTTACAACAAAAATGTATTATTGTTAATTTTACTATAAATAGGCATTGTTGATAATTTATTTTATTTAAAAATGTATTCTGGAATTTTTACTGTAAAAATGTATTTTTATATTTGCATAATGTTTTGCTTTTTGGAGCGTTCACTATTTACCTATAACTGGGACCCTAACAGGTGCTACCACCCCGGGTCAGGGTGAACCTGGGAACAACAGCAATTAAGAGGTAGTTCCATGCTCCTCAAAATCTAGAAATCAAGGCCTTGCTGCCGGATGTTGTTTATCGTCGTACCCAAGACTCACTATTAATAAATCAGTATACTTAGTATTATTATAAGCCCGAAATGCGATTTACAAGCCGGGAACACTAGAATCAAGCAGACGCGGAAGTTTAAATATCTGGGAAGCGTTCTGACATAGGACGGCAAATGCGACACTGAGATCCGTAGACGTATTAGGATGGCCAAGGACGCATTCCAAAAAGCTGGGCAGAGTATTGCTAGACAGGAGGATTTCTTTGGTAACAAAGAAAAGAATACTGAGCTGTTACGTGACATCTGTCTTCCTTTACGTCTGCGAATGTTGGACGATTTCCTCAAAGATGAAGAAGAGACTCGAGGCGACAGAGATGTGGTTCTACAGATGGATGCTAAGGATATCATGGACCGAGCGTGTGCGTAACGATGAGGGT